CCTACCTATTTAGGGCAACATAGGGAAATGGTACTCGACACACTTGTGTGTCGGTGCCTTTCCCTGTGTTGTTCCTGTTCTAGTCTTTCCTACCCGGGCGGTCTAAGACTAAAGTCCCGCTCCCTAACTAGTGCACCTAATTCACTTCGTCTAAGTATTCAGTAATTCTAGAGTGCTAGGTAGTCAAACACACACACACACGTACACACACATGGACATACACCCCCTCCCTGCCCCCCGCTTTCCTTCTTGCGTTTTTTGTCGTTTGTTGGGCTTTCTCTCAGGCTTTTTAGGTTGTTCTTGAGGCTCGTTTCCCTACCCCAGTCAAGGGCTAAGTATTCATTTTTCATTTTTTTCTACGCCTATCTTTCTCTCTTGCCCTCTTAGCGCTGCTCTTTCTGTGTTTCTTTCCTTTTGTTTCTAAGGCTTTTTAGGTATCTATTCAGGCTTTCCACGCACGCGCCGCCAAGCGGCACCGTGTCTGTGCCAGCGTTCTTTGAAAAAGCGCCGAAGCCGGCGATTTGTGTGTGTCCACCCCTGGACAAAGGGTTTCGACATGCAGGGGGGCGTAGCGTGTTCAGATGACTACGCCCAACGAAGCTAGTCTGACGGAACTGTTGCTTAAGCTTTTCCACTTTCGGTTTGCTTCCATGGTCCTTCATGCTACTCCCCACAAACAGGTTTCCCACCGCTCTGCAGCTACTGGACGCCGCTTCCACTTGCAAGCTGTCGGAAACATTGTTCAACAATACTTTTCAGCGGACTTTGCCACCTTGCGGTTCCATCGCCATCCTTCCCATCGTGGTAATTGAGTCACTGAATACAAGTGTCAGAGTGTGCTGTTCAGTTCTTGCATCAGGGACCATTCACGGCAACAGTTCTCTTCTTCATGCTTGACCGTGTGTTTGCAATTTGGTTTTCGGATCAGAAACCATGCACTGCACATTTGCAGTCTATAGAGGGTATTGGGGAGCTAGAGTCAAACGCCAGGATCTTTGCAAATGCTAGGATTGGTTTGCCATGCCTCTCTTTGCTGAGCGCCGGTTTGTGACACGCGGCGATAAAAAGGATGTGTCGCATGTAACTACGCACAAGTCTAAATCGCTCATCCCTTTCACTCACTCGCTCAGTCAGTCGACACAGTGCACTCCAGCACATCATCCACCTGCGACTGCAACACACTTCACGCAGAAAAACCAACGCGTCGGAACCCATCACATCACACATCGCAGCAACTCATTTCGGGTTGTTGCCCACGTCACAATAATCCTATAGTTACGAAATGTTACAGGTTTCGCCCACCAGCTCTGCTGGAGGACTACCTTTTAGTGGTGGTGGTAGCAGAAGTAGTAGCACCAGTACTGTAGTAGATTCAGGCAGGCGTGTGTGGCCCTCAGTTGGCATGTGCTTATTTAAAAGCAAAACAAGGAAATGATAAGGGTTCCTTTTGACTTAGAAAGGGAATGACAACTCCTTGATGTTTCAGTTGTTCTGGGGAAAAGCTCCGGAACATTCAGTCATGCAGCGCAAGGACTCACTTTATTCCAATCCTTAGAACAACTCAAATAACTCAATCAAACACTGGGTGCTTGAGGACCACCCCTTGAAAAAATTGAGGCATTGTTGGTTTGATTGAGTTCGATTGGCTTTTGCAATATAGGTGTTTCAGGTACGAACTCCGCAATTCGAGCAAAACCTCAGAACAAGCCTTCAGTGGTGGTGGTGGTGGTGTTGGTTACTAGTGACTAATCAAAAACCAAACAGGAAAAACAATAAGACGTAATCCACTCTGAGTCACTGAGAGAAGAAATCTTCTTGCTCCAACCCTCAAAGCTTGGGACACCTTTCTTACAATTCTACAAAACTGGATTCGACACTACTCCCAAACAGTGTGCAATAATTAGCTGAGCCGACAACCCCTACATCATCTGAATAATTTTGGTGTGTCGCTCTAATTGTATCAAAGGCTGTTGAGCCGCGCTACGTTGCTTGGACATCTGAAAAGCATCAATGGTACGGTGTTCAAGGCCACGATTGGGCCAGGGATGGATCGAGCGTTTCTCCCTCTAAAGAGCTTTGTCGGTCCCGTTGCCAAAAAAATGACGTTCTTTATCATTTTTTGCCCACACAAATGTGCTAAATGGTTGTGTCTTCAGAAAACGTGCTTCTCTAGTTGTTTCCCTGGCCACAGCAACCGCCAAAATCTCATATGCACTCGCCCGACATTGCCCACCGTTGACCTCCCATTAAGGGCATGGCGCACCTGTTCCGCACACTCATACATTATTATTGTCTTTTTGTTGTTCATGCTCATTCCTAATCGTGGCTCCCATGCTTCGAGAGCTTTTCTCCCATGCTGCGAAATGTCATACAAAACAACTGCACACAATGTCCATCAGATATACGCTGAAAGTCATTGAACATCCGATTTTGCAGAATCACTGGGTTCTTTAGATTGCATAGCTGCTAGCTGCAGATGCAGGATTACATTCATGATTTCACGATGTCTCAGTTGCTCACCCTGAAAGGAGACTATTGCCATTGGCCAGGGATCACTTGCAACAAGAAAGAGGAGGTCTATCGCGTTGATCTTCATGGGCATCGGGACCGGAGTGTGTTGCACGTACAGAGTCAGGAAAGCGTTTCCTTGTAGGGATTGGATGGGATTCGACTTTGTTTCAGTGTGTGTCTTGTGCGTGCTTGTGTGCGCAGGAGGTGACCGGAACCATGGTGGCTGGTGCCTGGAAAAAGCTCAGTGCCCTGAGCCTGGTGGAAGTGGATTTATCCAACACGAACGTGCAGGGTAACATCGATGCTTTCCGCTTTTCGACCAAGTTTCTCAGATTAAACCTTGCCAACACGAATGTCACGGGCGATCCGGCTGTTTTGAAGTCTTCATCGAGGTTGCGCATGTTGAACCTTGCCAACACGAAGGTCAGGGGTGACATTCGTTTTTTGAGTTCAATGCGGAGCTTGACTGAGTTGCAGCTTGCCAACACAAAGGCCCATGGTAACATTGATGTCTTGAGCAATTCATCGAAGCTGAGCATATTGAACCTTGCCAACACGACAGTCAGGGGTGGCGGTCGCATGTTTAGTTCTTTGTCGAGCTTGACTGACTTGGAGCTTACCAACACGAAAGTCAGTGGTGACATTGCTGCTCTACTTCCTAACACAAACTTGCGCTTGGTGGACCTTGCCAGAACGAAAGTCTCCGGTGACATTGGTCTTGTTTTTGCCTTGAACAAATTGCAGGTTGTGAACCTTGCCAACACACGAGTGTCGGGTGACGTTGGCGCAGCTTTCCTATCAGAGAAACAAGATTCAAAAGTGAATCAAGTGACGGAGACTAAGCTTGCATCTTTAACCTATTTGAACCTGGAGCGTACAAGAGTTTCAGGGGGCATTAGGATATTTCAGGATGCGAAGAGGCTACGATTCCTGAACCTCAAGAAAAACAAAGTCAATGGAGATATTGAATATCTGAGAGGTTGTCCATTGGAGCACATATTTCTGAGTGGCACTGGCGTAGGCGGGGATATCCGCGTGGTGCAGGCCTTTCCCGATTTGACCATGTTTCACCTTGATGACACCACGGTCTTTGGTGACATCAAGGCCTTCGAATCGACTCGGAAGCTGGAAACCTTGAATTTGTATGCCACAGGAGTGATTGGAGACATCAAAGCCTTTTGGAGGACCAAGCAATTGAAATGGTTGTCGTTGAGTCTGACTGATGTTTCTGGAGACATACAGGTGTTCAACAACTCTCTCCTCTTGTACATTGTTCTTGATGCAACGCAAGTTGAAGGAGACATCCAGGTTTTCAAAAACATGCCTGGCGTCACCAAGTTGGCCTTGTGCTCGACCAAAGTCAGGGGTGACATTGACGCTTTCAATTCAAGCAAAGACTTGATTGACCTCGCGATCTCCGATACGGAGGTATCCGGTGACCTCAAGGCCTTCTCAAACACCACTCTGTTGTCCAGACTACGTCTACGAAAGACCCAAGTGCACGGAAGTTTGTCGGCCTTGCGTGGCCTTGTTAGCTTGAAGACTTTGGATCTCTCTGACTCGCAAGTTCACGGTGATATTAGCGTGTTTGGGAACCAGACAAACCTGAAGGTCTTACTCCTGTCATCCACAGAAATCAAAGGAGATGTGGATGTGTTTCACCAAAGCCCTGGCCTCAAGTCAATGGATCTATCATTCACAAAAGTGAATGGTGATATCCGAGTCTTTCGAAATCGACGTGATCTGGGAGACCTGAGAATGGCATCGACAAGGGTTTGGGGCGACCTTGGTATTTTGGTGTCCGCATCTTTCGACAACAGGTTCAAGGTCATAGATCTGTCAGACACCGATGTGGAGGGCAACATCGCTGTCCTCAAGGATGCGCTGGCACTACGGGAGCTTTACCTTCGTCGTACGCAGGTTGCAGGCAGCATTGATGGCATCATTGGATGGAAGGAAGCCGCAGTAGTTGACCTCGCACGAACCAGAGTCACAGGTAGACTGACCCGACACTGGCGCGGCTGCTGCAAGAACTTGAGGAGTCTGAAGCTTTCAGCCCGGGCCCCAAGGGGAAGTGGCAGGAGTCAATCTAGTGGCGCTTTCTGTGCAACACTTCAGGTTATTGTTGCATTGCTGCAAAAACTGCGTTTCAATCAGCGAACCTCTCGAAGTGCTCAAATCCGTCACATTTGCCTACCAATTGTTGTTGTGGATTGCAAACGATATGCCGTGTTGAGAAAGAAGATGTGGACGCTAAAGATGATGTCGTGACCTTATTGATCATGCTAGAAAAGCAATACCACTACTGTACCAATCATGGTGGATGTTACCCCGGAGAAGGGATGATTGATGATCGAGGAATATATGTAATGACAGAACAGTCTCAGATTGATGGCAATTTGCCCATAATGACTTTAACAACCCAGAATTAAGTTAACAATAATCAACGCAGCTATTTTGTGCTTGGCTGAAACGTATGCAAGAAACCAAGAAACCTAGTTCTTTCTGTTGAAATCATCCATATATCACATATATATATATATTGTTTTTCGCTTGCTGCGTCATGCCCAGGTTTCTTCATGTCGCAAACAATAGAAACTGCCTGCCCACATGTCCGGGCTTAAGCCTGCAATGAAAGGCTCACGTGAACGGTCCACCTGGCCCAAACCCCCAAATAGCTCAAGTGCTTTAGATTTTAACGAATGTTTTCGTAATTTGTATGTCGCATCCCTCAACTCGTATCTGGTTGGTGCCTGGGTGCAGTGCACAAGCTGTGCTGAGTGATCTTCATTTTTGTGCGGGAAGCGCGCAAAGCAAACGGAGTTGACAGTCGAGTGTGGATCAGCGTAGCTGAGATGTCATGCGTGGATGCTTCTTGTGGCAACAGAAACACAAACACATGTGGAGAGTCGGTCAAGGAAGAACTTGGCTAAACAGAAGTGGACTCCTGGAGGCTACGTACAAAATGAATCGAAGTTAGTCAGAGAAACAGCAACGTTTCGTCAATCAGTCCGACCACCACAAAAATTGTTTCCTACAGCGCTTTTGCGCGTGTGCTTGGCCATCATTTTTCAGTGTTTGGCCATGCCACTGTTAGACGTGAAAGCGGAGGTTTGGGACATTCTGAGACTGCAGACAGATCCACAATGCCCCAGCGCTCCACCGGTACTGCAACGAAAAACATCGAAAGCGAGGTACCGTGGGCATGACCAGGTTGTGGTGCTGGAGGCTTGCAAGAAACAAATATTTGGAAGCGACGTTAGGCTTGTCCGGCAGGGTAGCTGACTGCAGCGCTACCATTGCAAAAGAGTCATGGGTGGGACATGAATGCTTGGTGGCGGAGCGCGCGCATCACACCATCAGCGCAGAGGTACAGAGCTAATGCGGCTCAGGAAGTGGCCTAAATCACTCGAACGGCCAGGCTCAGTGGGACTCAAATACCCAGTGCCCCATTCAAATTGACCCATGTGCACCACCCTCTGACAAGAAACTCCCTTCCCTGGAGCAACAACCACCACAGCCACTAAGACAACAACAACCACGACCACAACACAAAGACCACAGCAGCCGCAACAACCACAACAGCCACGACTGCAACGTCAACGACTGCGAGAGCAACAACATCAGGGTTGGATGTAAAGCGGCAAAGAATTCAAGAGAAACATGGTATATGTAAGGCATCGCATTAAGTAATTGGTATTCATACACCATTGTACACCTCAGTTCAGTCAATGTACTTGTAGCCGCTGTAACCAGCAACTTTGCTTGCAGAGAGCCGTGCGAACATGCAAGAACGAAGCTGGGCTGGACTAAGTGTTTGCGCACACCACCGTAGTGACTTGAACCCACATTTTGTAGCTGAGGGGAGCAAGTCTGAGTTCTTGCCCACCGGCAGTGACCTCATTGACTTGATGGAAATCTATGTGAATGTCAAGCGGGCCGTGCTGCTTCCCGGTCTGACAACCTTGGAGGCCTGAAGCGTTCGAGCCAGAATCCCGACTGCCATTCGGTTGTGGGACTTCGAACAAGTGTGATTTCGGCAACACACGCTGAGGCCAACGAAAAAGAAGGAAACAACAACCCCCACCCGCTTTTTCATTCTGTGTGTTAACAGCGTCCCTTCAGGTGTCCGGATGTCCATTAAATGGGCGCATAAGAGATTTGGTATTGCCTTTGGCGTTTTGTGAGCACTTGGGGAGCATCATCGCAGTGGATTGCGGGCTTCACGGTGAGTTTCCTAACTTGGATCCATTGGGGCCTACCAGATTGGATGGCAAACTCGTGATTGGTTTTCGCAGCAAACTGGCAAGTTCCTTGGAGGTTCTGGAGATTTCTGACAACAACCTAACCTACATGGAATCGATTCCGTCTTCCATGAGGAAGTTGGTTGTATCCTCCAACAAGAGCCCTTTGCGATTGGCCAAAGGAACATTAACTTCGGCGCTGAAGAAGGGCACTTCAATAAATCTCAGAGGTACCAGCTTGCATGATGACACACGCGCAGAGGCACAAAAACTACTGAGGGACGATATCATACAGAGGACGGGTCGGTGTTCCCCGACCATTAAATTAACGTTTATTGACACTGTTTGTGTATTTCCCTAGTTTGATGTGTTTTGGCAATGTTAATTGTAAAGATTTGTAGATTTTATATGAGTTTCTTCACAACATCCAGCAGTAAAAACAAATCCTACCAAGCTGACTGGATCTCTTTGACACGCACCAGGACACCGGAACGGACATTTTCCAAGGAGGGATACACATGCTATGACTTGGCTCCAAACAGCACGATGCAAGTCTTGCCCTCTGATCTTCTTCCCCAAAAGCTGTGCGTTTGTCTCCCTGGTTGGCACGGTGCGGGGGCCAGCTGCCACAAATGCCCTGTGGACACCTTTAAACCAGACCTGGGTGATATGGAATGTGCAGAATGCCCACGGAGCACTAGTACCAATGGCATTGTAGGGGCTCAGTCTGAGGATGCCTGTCAGTGCAAGCAGACACTTCGAGATCACAAAGGAGGCCAAGAAAAAGATTCTCGATCAGTATTCCAGCCTTTCTTTTGGCCGTTTGTTTTTGTTGCTGCAAAACCTCAGTTCACAAGTATAAGAACTCGGCAAAAGAACGGGAAGGTTTGGCTGCTTCAGTAAGGGCAACGTTTGCAACTGCCCAAATGGAAGTGCAATCTTCGATGGTCACTGCTTGGAGTGCTTTCCGCCCTTGAGACGATGCAAGGGTGGGACAATCTCGGCAGAGCACTGTGGTGAAGGTGCCAAAGCGGCACTACAACACTGTTAGCCTAGTGTTGCAGACAAACGGACATCAGCAAGCTTTTTTTAATCAGAGCTCTCTTGTGGGTGTTCCTCGTGGTGATGCCAATAAACATCAGCAAAAAGTTGGTTTCAAGCTTCGTTGCCGTGTCGCACAAGTTGGCAAAGTAGCTGCAGAAACTTTTGCTTTAGTCAAGTGAGTTTGAGATTGGGGGCTGGGCTGGATCACCTAACCACTGAGAATCAGACTCTTCCGTGCGCCGTGGGATTCAACTACGGCCTGAGGTTACCATGGACCCTTGTGCATGCGATGTGACGAGCGGTACTATGCTGTGAGGAGCTCATGTGTGAAATGCACAGGGGTTGGCTGGCCCCAGTGGCTTCTGATGGCTTTGACCTTTGTGCTTGAGCAGCACGTGGAGCTTTTGCGTTTGCCATCAATTGAAATCATGCATGGCCAGGATTTCAGACTTTGTACTCATGACATGTGTAGGACCGATTGTATGTTGCTGCGGTGCCCTGGCACCAAGGTTTGCATCGGTGCCTTACTGGCTGGAGGCTTTGTCGCCGTTGCATACTTTGTTTACGCGTGGAGTCCACTCAGTTGGCTGGATGGATGGATCAAGTCGGCAGCTCGTGTGATCTTCGCCCCAGAACCCCTCGGAGAGTGGCAGCAGCAGCTAGTGAAGCGCCAGGCAAGGAGTGAGAAGCGAGCAAGTTCCAAACAATGTCAACCAAGGAACACACGGAACTCAGATGAAATGCCTAGATTTTGCAGTAGAATTGTCCGCCAAAGTGCAGGTCTTGGGTCCCAGCCGCAATAGCTCTGATTTGGCATCGTTTGGTGTCACATTTTCACTATACTCTGTCAACGTCAGGGGGTGGGCTTGGCGCATGGACATGGGCATGTAGAGGGGTTGCGAGTCCGCCTGTCAAGAAATATCATCCACGATGAGGTGCGCCAAACCATATCCCAATGTCTCTATAGAACTATTAATTTCGGAACCGCTCACAGTCATCCACAATCCACGATTTTAACCTCGATGTGGGCGGGGCAATGTCAGGCCCCTGTGTTGCTACAGACGTGTCAGCTGTGGAGCGTGCTCTCTTCTTTGGCTGCCAGAGATGACAAGGTGAGGGGTCTTGGGCAGGACGACGTTTGCTGCAAGGACTAAGGCGGATTTTAGTTTGGTCTTGCCATTTGCTGCCTGCGTTGAATGTAAGTCTTTGAGAAAATTGTGTTTTCATGTGTTTTCCATTTGAGTTTCTTTGCGTTTCATTGGCAAGGAAGCCAAGAGTGTCCAAGAAGGACTTACCATGTTACAGTAAAGGAAGCAAAGTCGCCCTCATGTCCTGCTAGAGAGGCATGGCCCTTTTGGCATATGCCCCTGGTGACGTCAGCTGTCAGGCTTCCGACATGTTGTGGGAATTGCCCTACGTGCAGCATGTGCAGTTGGCCGTGGGGAACTTGCAGGAGATCCTTTATTTGCAGTGCTTCTTCGATGGAAAGCAGGCAAGGTGCCCGACTGCGTTGGTCATAGTTACAGTTACTACAATAATTCTGAGGAAGTTTCTTAAAGAGTCTTGGTGACCACCCAACGACCAGCTCACTTTTGGAACTTAAAATCACTACGCGCAGCTTGAAAAAGACGCTGCTCACCGGCATCTCCAGGTGCGCAAGATGGTGGCCTTCATTACGCCGGCGGTGCCGCTACTTCTTTTGCTCGGCTGTGGGTGCCTTGAAGTTTGGAAGCGTGGCTCAGGACAGAGTGAAACGAGTACAGCCATGGCAGATGCCACATGGAAAACCAATGAAAATCATATGATGAGTGGTATGATTCGGTGCATCTCAGCTGCTGGGTCTTTTTTCACCCATGACTTGAGGAACTCCTGTACTGTGTTTGCCACTGAACTGTCAACATGTTTGAACTTCTGGATCCCACTGAACCCAGTATATAATATATATGTAGTTTTTCCTCCTTAATGCTACCATCTACGCCAGTGAGATTTCCTTCGAGTTCATTGTCTCACCCAGGCCCCTCGAATTTGGCCTGGCAGGAGTCAATGCAGCATTGAAGATTTTGACGCTCTTCTTCGTTGGCGGTGCCTCCAAATGTGCTGCCTTAATCACCTGCCAGCGAGTGGATGCAGGTGGAAGGGAGGTGGAAAGGGAGGGAGGTGGAAAAGCCAGGTAGTTCATGTGGGTGGCAAGGTGTCTTGTAGGTCTTAGCTGCCCACTGCAAGAATTCGAAAAGCGGGGAATTTAGTCTCAAACAACTTCCAGGTTCTAGAGTAGTGTTGTTGAATCACGGAAGAATGATTGTGGTTGGCAGCTGTCGTTTGTCTTAGTATTTTCAGAAGAGGGTAGCGCAAGTAGTGGGCTTTGTAGTACTGTAGGAGAACGTTTCAGAGGCTTGAATCGTAATTCCAACATCATTACTGTAAATCGTCATTTGAACAGGGCCAGTTGTGAGAGCACCCATGTGGACTGAAAAGGACTTGTCCTGTGATCGCTTGCACTCCTTGTTCAGCACCCATTTTGTGATCTTGAGATTCCAGTTTGGATTGCAGGTGGTTGGGCTTTGCAATCTAACATGACCGTCCTGCGGCACTTGCCAGACATCGATTGCTATCAAGACAGCATGGTGAGGGCCCTGGTGTGCAATGTGTGGGACATTTCACTTGACCCCCCAACAAAGTCTGAGGCTTCACAGGATGACACTTGTGTCACGAGCAGTGATGCAAGTTGCGAGTTGCGAATTTTCCAAAAGTTATTCGTACCATTGCCTTGCTTGTTGCCTGGCATGCTTCGCGTACGTCATCCTTCGCGTAGCACTCGTGTCATGCATTCCGGATGCCCTGGGGCCCAGGTACCGCCCGATGTGGCTGGGGTGTTTTGGCCCTGCGCCGTGGGCTACGCTATCCTGATGCTTGGTTGGCTATAAGCGGTTAGTAGTGGCTGGAGGGGTCCCAAATCGGCATTGCGCGACTGCCTTTTGATTTGACCTTTGCTTCTACATTGGGGATGTCCGGACCAAAACATGGGATTCAGATGCCCACAAGCATTGAAACTGAATGCGTATTGTACTCTAGAGTCTGCAGCGATTTGTGGTGTTGGTTGGTCCCTGTGCTCGCTACCTCATGTGGTGTTTGCCCACATGCATCCCCCTATTTGCTATTAGGCCATTTGGGGATGCCAACCAACCTAGCAACATTCCTAGAGGAAACTGATAATGACCAACGAACAATGAGGTTGACCAACCAACACTGCGCGCATCACACCAGCGGTCATTTGAGGATCCCCTCCTTCTTGTTCTACCTTTACGCTCGTCAGCATTTGGTTCTGCGCTATACTCGGATGCCTTTGGAGCTTGCCAGTGGAACGACCGAACATCTGGCCGTGAGCCACGAGGTGCCAAATTCGATTGGAGGGTCGGATTTGATCAATAGGTGGTCATCAGTTGTGTTTACGAACAAGAATATCAAGAAGCCTTTATACCACCATTGAATTGGTGTTGTCGAAGGTTGTTAACCCTGGAGTGCTTTGGCGTCCTGGGTTTGTTCAGGCTGCCCACGATGTTGTTGTGTTGCGTAGCTGCAACTGCCAGGATGCCATGCTGCAGCGCAGGGTAGTGGCTGGCCTTGTGGCATACGTCTCCATTTTGCAGCATGGTAGCGTGAGGGTCCAACTACGAGATGGCAAGGGGACCCTTGGGCGAATAAGATCGAATAAGTCTTCGAGCCGCCTGACAAGATGTTGATTCTTCATGATTCTTCAATATTCTCAATTGCGTTTGCAATTGAGAAGACGCATGCCAATGGCGTGAGCAAAACATGGCCACGCACACCATCCACCAGTTCGCGGTGGATCTAAGAAGATCTAAGGATCGCAGCCTTTTTGGACAAGCCTGATGTAACTGCCCTGAAGCTGGATGTCTCTTGGCACTAACATGGAAGTGGATTGCATGGTCCCTTCGGAGACTACTTTCCTTTACGGACAGACGAACAGGTGTTTTTTCGCTTTCATGTTAGTCAGTCGGAGTGTAGACATCCAAATGACATCCAAACAGTGGTAGAATGGAACAACCTCACTCCCATCTACTATCCAGTGAACTTTGAATATATATACCTTCACAACATCGTCCTCGGTTATAGACCTATGGTCGTCGGTTTCACAACATGTTCATCGCCAAGTCATCGTCATCGAACAACAAATGTGCGAAATGTGTGTAAATTGAGGTGAGGGTAGGGGGTTATCGGTTGCAGAACATCGTCAGTGGTTTCAAAAAATCGTAACTACTGTAATCTTGGGCCAGCTAAGTGAGAAATGGAAAGGCAGAAGTCATGAAGACCCTATAAAAAAGAACGTCTTGACGTTTCTGTGGTATGGTGCGCCAGGGTCGATTCCACTGGACGGCGCAATCACTTCTTCTTGCTTTGTTTTTTTCAGGGCAGTGATGGAGTGTAGTACTTGGGAGTCTAGACCAAAATCGGTAGCACACCCAGGCTGAAGCCATCAATGCACAGTTCAACATTGAGTCAGAGAAGCTACGACATCATTCCATCACTGAGATGTTGCTGGAGCGCCACTTGGACGCGCAATAAGTTCAGCTTTGACCCTGAATAACAGGAAGTTGCGAGTGCCAATTCATACCAATTCAAATGCGCGCATGCACACATTGATTTAATAAATCTGTCCAAGCAAGTGTCCTTTGCAAAATACAGTGCACAAATGTGCACAATATGATCACTCTAGAAATCCTCGACTCTGCCTTCGCGGTCTATCCCTTCCTGTGTTTTGTTGGCCTTCGGCCTTCATTGTTTGTTCCCTGTTCTCTCCCCTTTGAATCTTTCCCCCCTTCCTTGTTCCCTTCTGTCCCCTTCCCTTGCTCCTGCTCTTCCTTGTGCCGCAGCACTTGACAATCATTCATCACACGAATCATACCCCACTGGAGAAGCTTGGCCGACTCAGGGTTACAAGTTGCATTGGTGGTGTTGCTGCAGAAAGGTATACCGCAACATTGATCAAGCGTCTCACATCAGCCTCCAGACGGGAGGTTCTCCAAACGAACACGAGACGAGCGAACACAAAGCGAGTCGTAAACACGGAGCCTGCCTGTGTTTCTGATAAAGTGTGAATCTGAATCTTGTGATATCATGCGTTCATACGTATTCTTGAGAGTGCCTGGACGCAGTAACCTTTTAGAAAGAGCTGTCTTCATCTCACCAGTCGAGGTGCGATTTCATGAGTTTTTACACATGTCATGTCATGTGGAGGAATGCTTTGAATATGTATGCCATTCCCAGCAGTACAAACTGACGTGGGGCGTTTTATATACAGCGTAAATCACAGTACATGTTCATGAGTGCCAGAAGCTGCGTGTCTGATAGTCAGCCTTTTTTGTCCGCAAACTGATGTTTAAACTGCGCATCGCGTGGCACCACGCATGCTTCGCATGCCCTCTCGCGAAAGAGAGCGAGAGCTCTACTCAAGACCCTTAGCAAACGTGGTCCCTTCTTTAGTTAGTGAGCTGCAAGCAGGTTCCTGTGGTCATTGAGTGCTGATCGTTTGCTTACTCTCTCCCTAGTGGTTGCTGAAGAAAAGAAGAACTAGCCTATTAGTTCAACACCTTAGTGGAGCTTCAAGACACTTAGACATGACATGAACCTACGTCACGAAGCAAGTTCATTTGCATAGTCGTTCTACATCACTCAGCAACATCATGTGTGTATGAACGTCACGACTTTGGCCCCAACCCCCCACTCAGCCAAATCAAACGCTGATCTACGTCTCGTAGCAACATCATGCTCATAGACCTTCATCGAACCTACATCAAAAGGTACTTGAGTCGACATCGCTGCTTCAAGTCCTCGCAGAAAAAAACGGCCACAGCTTCACATCAACAACATCACTCGACTTCAACATATCACATTGCAACCGGACTTCACCAATTCCATCTAAGCTTTTCACACTGGCGCACATCTTCTTTTTGGACGCATGCGCCCCCCGCCTGGTGCGAAATCTATATTCTCCCAATATTTCAGCCAAGGCATTCTTTGCTAAGACCCATGTGTAACGAACATGCAGTATACAGTAACATATGGAGAGAGGCTGTGTGGCCTGCCCATTATCACTGGTTCTTTTGGAATATGACCTGTCGCTTGGGCTTGGCAGGAGTTGTGTTTGTCCAAAGCTGATCGGCATGCTGATCGGCATCAAAAGTGCAACATATTCAATCATATTCATGCAATTCCAGGTTTTGCTGAAGGTGATTTGTCATTTTCCCTATGGATAAGTCCCCTTCTGGGGGATATGTTCTATTTTTTCCCGGTTCCAGTGACGCAGGTCACATCTTGGGTCAGGTGGGCGAAAAGGACAGATGCTCGGCGCGGGAATTGCAGGGATGTGTTCCGCCATGCTCAGCCCTGATACTTCGCAAATAGCACTGGATGGTCTTTCAACTAGTCAAGGAGGGTCAGCAACCCCAGCAACTTTCAGGGATGCTGGGAAGAGAAGCGCCGGCTTAAGGTTTCTTCCTACGTCATGTTGCACAGAGCTTTTGTATTGAACGTTGCGACCACAAGAATAGAACGTTGTTCAGGGTCATTGCCTTTTATATAAATCGCAATTGCCCATCGTTCTTTTCTGCGCAATACCTTGTGCATACTAACGTCCACCCAGCGCAATTGGGCAGCCGACGGCCAAGCACTGAGGATTCTTGAAGGGTGCCAAAGAGATGCTCCTGAAGTATGCAGCTTGTCTCCTATGTTTCCATGTTTTTCCATACAGCGGCCGGCCTGGATCATTTGTTTGCTGTGAATTTGAGCATCGCAAAAGTTTTACGCCCTTCTTGAGCTGGTGCACACAGAGAAGGAACTCCAAGACCATCCGAGCACATATTGATTCTCATGTGTAGCACACTGATGATGGGATCTAGTGCATGTCTTCAGGCTCCTGATATTTCTTCGGCCGAGCTTCAGACAGAGACACAGAGTAGGTTTTTGAACGACCTGCTATGGGTCAAAACCCGCTAGATTGTCCATGTTTGATAGTCCATTCCGTTCTTTTCCGGTGGTCAACCCGGGTCTCCCGGTTTTTGACCCGCAGCCTGTCATGACTGTCATGATGTCATGCCCCAATAGTGCTATCATCAATGTTGCTGTTGCTGCTGCTCCTGTCGGTGTTAGAGCTCATCGACAATCCGTGCGGCAAAATCTATAGACGTGCCTGGACAATTGCTAAGTCCACTTGCCGGGATTTGTGGATGGAAGTGATGCTGAAGCTTGTGACCGTTGCCATCGTCCAGGCAACGGCCCTTTGCCTTTCCCACAGCGGGGTCCAGGGTAAGATACACTTGATCTTGTCCAGTTTGTGTGTTTGTATTCAGGTAGAGTTCTTCAAATCACTTCCCGGAATCTCACCAACATCTCATGTGAAGCAGATCCATCAGTTGTCCATTTTGCTTGTGTCATATGGTCAGGGGAGCCAGCGCCCTTTTAGAATTGACGCGATGCGAAGCGGGGCCAGGCCATCGCATCCAGCACTGCGACAAGTGATCCCTGGCAGCCAGAATGAATGAGCCATCGGCAGTTGACTGCCTATGATTCCTAAAAAGAGCACCTACCGGAAACATCGAAAGAAGTGCTAAGGAGTAAACTATACGTCTAGCTACTTGCTGGCTCTTTACGGAGACTTTCCAACGCATTTCCTTCTTCTGGTGAAGGCTTTCTTGTCTTCCAACACATCCACAGGAACGCTCACACTTTGCCAATGTTTAGGACCTCCTCATGCCCTTGGGGAAAGTGCTGGCAGCTACGCTGGGGGTTGCAGCCACAGTATGGATGGTGCGGCCATACGCGCAACCCCAGGCTAGTAGAAATTGGTAGCCAAATTTTCCAATACTGACACTCCATACCCAGACTAAATCGAAAGGGCCTCGTTTTGGCAGGTGAATGATCTCCAAGTTTGCTGCTTCATGGGCTCCTGAGCTATCAATGGTGAACTGTCAATGGTGAAGCACAGCATCTCTCACACGACCTTTGAAGACCTTTATTGGAGAACGATCAATTCCCTTGTGCCAAGAAGTGGTTTGCATTGAGGCGTTTGCATTGAGACATCCCAAGCTGTTAAAAAAATCGAGGTAATCTTTACTGAAAGACCTGAAGGATTCTCAAATCCAAACATACTTCCCTGAAACCGGAAGTATGAATTCTAGGCTTGGCCTTTGCTGCCACTGGCTTTCAGCTTCACATCGCGTGGCTCAGCCGCGCTGCGCTGCTCTTGCCCTTGCTGCTGGCGGCAGCGCAGCAGATGCAGCCTGATAGCCCAGAGAGCTTGGCGCAACGCTTGTGGGAGGCAGGGCAGCAGGTTGGAAGGTTGTATGGCTGATGATGGTATCCAAAGCAGGAGTAGAAATATTCCTTTGATGTATTGGAACATATTGGAACTATATACATTGTGGATTAAGTTATTGGCTGAAGCAATCAGATGGAGGTTGACAAAAAATTGCTGCGCCAATGAGGACTTGGTGAACGATGATATTCTCAAAAAATCCGCGACTACCTCCATGCTTTCGCGCCAGCAATCCCAAGCAATCAATTTCAGCTTAGAGCATAATTGAACAAACCGTGGATTCATAAATGATAATTAATTACAATGCGATCAATTAAGAATATTTGATCATTTAGAGATCCGTCCCAATATGTTGAAAGTCATATGAATTTGTTGATATAGTAATCCTTTAATATAAAGAACTAGATTTATATATGTATATATTAAATATAATTAATGTATTTATATATCACGAAAGCTAGCCGGTAGGCTGGGCTTGAGATTGTTGGAGCAAACGAAGTGAGCAATGGGAGGGGTTGTGTGGTGATTATTTTTCGGAGAGGGGAATTTGGGGTTTGGCGGGGGAGAGCGATAAAAAGAGGCGGGCCATTTGGTAATGCAAAATGAATGATTTGAGGGGTATTGGATTTCGACGATGTAATTGATAACGAATAATATAATATTTGTATTACGAGGGATTTAGGAACCGATGGAAAAAGAATAAATTGTAATTGCGATTAAGCTTAGCATTGTTGTTTGATTGGAGAGGGCATTTTTTATGTGGCGGGAATTAATATAAATTGGGATTCCGTTTTTAATATAATTTTGTTGTAATTAGTTATGTTTTTAATAATATTTATTGTATATGATATATTTTTGTGGATTATGTTTAATTTGATTTTGTTATAGATCTTGAATATTGAAATAATATGAAAAGAATAAGATAATTAATAATTAGATTTTGTTATGAATATAAAAAATTATCTAAAATTTTGGGAATTTGAGATTTTAAAATATATTAATTAAAATTTATGATTTATTAAATATATAAATAAAGATATAATAATATATAAATTATCGATTTTAATTAAATCTTGTTAATTTCCGATATATATTCATCCTAAATCGTTATATTTATTTCTTTTAAAAAAACGAAATTAACAAACAAATTTATATTTATTCTACAAATATAAAATAAATGTTATTTAAATAAAATTAATTAATTCTATATGTATTGTTTTTAAAATTCTTTTCTATATGTATTAATTAAATTTTGATTTTAATATATATATTTTTTTTTAATTATGTATTTCGTTGGGCTGTTGTATTGCCTATAAAATATTTTTTTTTTTCTTTGAATAGGAGCATCATCATAAATTGCGTGGTTGATAATATTATTAATGATTTCATTGATCCTATAAAATTATTATTATTTAGGACGACCAATTCGATATTTATCGATCTGGGATCCCTATTGCCTATTTAATATAAAATATAATTTAATTAATTTGAAAGCTGTATTCTTAAAATATGTTCGGGCAATTTTATTCGTCTTTCATATTATCTTTGAGAAAAAGATTCAATCTTTTTTATAGGTTGATTCGGAAAAGCACTTTCGGAGGCAAATTTATAGACCCTCGTATTTGAGTTGTATCTGTCTATAAATGTAATGAGCAAATTTAGAATTCTTCGTAGTTCCCGTAAATGGAAGGCATCAATTTCTTTTATGATAACGTTGGGTCAAATATATTGTTTTAAGGCTATACAATGATTTGCTTTTGATCATTGTATCATAAATAAGAAATTATTATTTCTTATTGGTAATGGATGGGTTCCTTCCACAATAGAGAAAGTTTGTTCTATGTGTGTTTCGTCTCTTGGATGCGTTGTGAGATTTCTTTCTTGAGGTCTATAATGCGGTGGAGATTATTTCCTAGATAAGTAGTTTCGTAAGTTATGTTCAGGTGGTTGCCGTCATGAAAATATATGTTAGCAATACGATTCATAGTGATAACGTGGCATTTGGCTCTATTGATTCGGAAATCACAATAAATAGAACAGATTTCCATATGTTTAAGGAATTCATTGAGACCTCTGGATGTCGTCGAGAATAATATTATATTATATTATCTACCATGAGCCCTCACAACCATGAAAAATAAAGGTTGTATGTTACAACCATGATTTTTTAGGTCATGCATCAGGAAACCTGGTTTTCACTTTTGGGCTTCAAGCATCCCACACACAAACCCCATCAACCTCCCTTCCAGCCCAGTGCCGATCCACCGCGCAGCATTTCCATCTGGAGCGGTGCGGTCCCTGCTGCAGAGTCACGGTGGCCTGACTTAATTAGATGGGTGGGTGAGCCAACATTCATCGTATGTGGGGTCGTAGGACACAGGTTTTTTTGGTTGCATAAGGTCCAAAGACTTGAAAACTATTGAGGGTCGGGGCATGGCTAATCACCCAAGCTTCGAATTGATAGGAACAGCCTTTGGATCACCCGCATTGCGGTTGTCCGTGAAGATACACGCCTTGCTAGCCTTGATGGCCGGCCGACAAAATCTTCCTGCATCTGACATGAGTAAACTAAACAGTTCACAGCAAATTTACCTGCCCTTCCTTGTTCCAAAACATCAAGCATTTGATGATGTAAGTAGTGACATTTGGGCATGATGGGAAAGCGCTTTTGCCTTCGCTCAAAGCAGCATCGGGCAAGCTTTAAGTACAACTGAAGGAAAGACAATCCACTCTCAGCCAAACTCTGCGCCCTCTCAGGCTTGATAAAAATGCCTTCATGGTAGAGTCCGCCAATGAACTCATTGATCTTGGCAGTGGCTTCTGCCTCGGATGCATTTGTGAAACAACTGTTCCTTCTACAGATGGTTCACATACACATCGGCAAACCCAAACACAAACAACAAGACTATGCAAGCACAGGCGGAGCAACACACATCAAGTACACTGGATCTTGAGTCTTCCCAATCACTTCTCTTGAGCAGTAGTCCGCGAACCAAAGGTGGAGCAAACGAGTGAAGTCGCCCTTGGACCAACCTCCGTCAGGGCATTCTTGGAACCCTGTGTGCACTCCAAAAAGTACTGCGGTCAATCGCTTGTGATAAGGAGACTCCTTCATCCTTTTGCAGTATGCCTGAAAGTCGGCAGTGAGCTGCTGAAAGGCTTGTTCAATCGAAGTCGGAATAAGTTCCATCACCATCACAACCGCCGATGAGATGTAGTTCTTTCCCACACCCAAGTGGTAATTGTGAAAAACATCGAAGCGAAACACAGCTTCACTTGCAGTGTTGATGCTGTCATATGGGATCCCCAACAAAGGGGAGGCCTCACTGAAGGCGGGCACCAACCCCTGAGTTCGCCGCCAAGCCGGGTCAGAATTTCCTAGTTCTTCATAAGGTATGCTCTCTGGCCAGTCCTCCTTTCCTGCCATACACAAGTGTACACAAGTGGCAGATGCCACAACAAGGCTTCTTGCTGACCTTTTTTGTTGGACGGCGTGCGAAATTACGCTCAAAACGACCGGCTTTCGCTAAGAAAGGGGCGTCCCCTTTGATTCCAATGCAGCAAACGTAGTACCTTCTCCCTTCAATGACCGTGCCCTGCTCAAATAAATACGTGAACTCATCACTCTGAATTTCAAGAACACGGTAAAACGATTCCGGAGAATTGTTGTACAGGTTGATCGGCATGGCCCCTAGCAGGAAATGTGTGGCAACCGTCCGCCCCACCATGTTGAGGGCAAGAGGATTCTCAGGATGTCCAAAGGAGTCGACCAGTTCTGGCGTCTTGGATGTGCCACTTCCACAAACTCCGTGCGTTGACAAAATCATAACTTGTTTTTTCTTCAGCCCCCTGCCCTCGTCCCCGTGAAAGAGCACGGGGATCGTCATAGCCTTGTTGATGTCATTCCGGGTGAAAATCACATGTGTGCTGTGCACTTGCCTGTATTTCTCCCAAAAGCTCGTAAGCATTTGCTGCATCACCGGCAAATCTTTTGTTCCCACTAAACAATCTAGTTCATCGTGCTTGACCAGATAGTGCAACCAATCCTCAAACTTCACGTAAGGAAACTGCGCCGCACTCGGCAGGTCAACTTTGGAGATTGGAACTTCCAAAGAAGATCCAAAAGACTTGAATACTCTGTGAGCACCTGTTTCACTCTTCTTCAAGTTTACTCGGGACAAGGCTTTCAGACCCTTGGATCTGACTCGTGTGACACGGGCCTGCTTGATGGCGTCTCTGCATGAGACCTTGGCAGCGCGAAACCAGTGCAAAGAGCAATCTATAAACATGATAAACCGGCCAAATCGGTTTAGCATAACATCCATTTGTTGCCCCTGCCATATAGAAAGGTGTTCACAAACAACAACTGTCGCATGCTCAAAGGTCCTTTTGTCACAAGTGGCACCACCAATTCCCTGGAAAGAAGCCAAGGAGATTGAATTATTCAACAGATCGTTGTAGATTGTTGCTGAAAAAGTCAAATTATAGATCAACGTATTGCCCTCCCCTGGTCCGCCCTCCCACCAACAACATACACAAAATGAAATGGCTCGTGTTCAACACTTGGTGGACCTTCGCCTCCATAACGCTGGTTCCGGCAACCATGCTCAGACAAGTTCGAAGCAATCAGAGCTGCCTCCAGCATTTGGGCTACTCCTAGGTTGTCTGTACAGTGAAGCAGGCTCATGTGAGAATAGTTGGCTTCCTTGTAAAAGTCAAAGCGCACAATGGGATTCGAAGTCATGCCAACTTTGTACACACATAAGCTACGGGTCATCCTGTTCCGGAACTGGTCAACAGCGGCCAAACAGCGCTGCAGAACAGTCCCTGCTGAACATCTATATTTCATCCGGGCAGAGAGATAAGCAACACAAATGCCATGTTGTATAAACAAGACTTCTCGATCCTTTAGATCGTTTGATTCAGCAGGTGTAAGAGCAGCATGTTCCCCAGCACTCAAGTCTCGCAAAGGTTGTCTTGTCACAGGAGGTTGTTCCTAGGTCGTGCTAAATCTATACATGTTCATTTCAATCCAAACTGTTTGGGAGTTTGCTTGCGCACAAAGAGACCCCGTTCCGAAAAATAGAAAATTCAACCTGACAGAGTGTAGTATTGAAAAGCCAAGGGACATTGCATTGGAGCTCATAGGGTTGTCCAATACTCCGACTTCGAGCCCCCAGAACTACGCTTGGCACTGCTGCAAGATTCCTGAAAGGTATGTATATATAGAGAGAGGTTGATGATGAATAGAATAATATAATCAACTATTGGGTTGCATGTCCAAAG